TATATATATATATATATATATATATATATATATATATATATATAGTGTATGTGACTGTGTGTATTGCCTGGGACCTGATTGTACAAGTTCGTCTTTTTAAAAATTTTCTGACTGCACCTTTAATTGTCAACTATTATGTGTGTATTTCTTTTTTTTGTAAAATTGAAATTGTTAATTATTTTTAAATATTGAATTGGATTGACATTGTTTAAGTCAACAGTTTATACAGGCACGTTACATATTAAAAAGAAAAATTTAACAAAATATTACATTATTCTTTTTGAAAATGTATGTAGCTTATGCAACCCAAAAAAAAGTAGAGCCAAACTTCTCTCTAGTTACTACATTTGACGATTTATTTGATTACCGTTACTTCACGAGATAGTTCAATTTAATTTAACATCGTGATTAATTAATTTTACTGAATATTTAATTCGTTTGAAGACGCATAAGACAAAAACATCAAAATTATACTGAAAGAATCAAAGCAATTAGTTCGCCACCCAGAAATTGAGTTCGCTCAATTCAATTTTAATTGTTCCGACTGAAATTTTTTATAGTATATTAAATAGTATATAAGTATATATATAAATATATATACTAGTATATAATAGTGTATAAATAGTATATATAGTATATATAAAAAAAATTTCTTTTCGGATTATCTTTCTCTTTTACGCTTATACTTTCACTGGTTGTCGTTAATATGCGGTAAGTGGTTTCAAATGCATCTTGAGTATACGTGCGTAATACAAGTGCGCACTTGTATGGATTCCGGCGTATTTACCCGTATGCGAATTACGGGATGGGTAACGCTGGGTAACGCGACGCGACTATTTGCACGTCTTATATGTCCGAAGCTGGTCGTATATACAAATTCTATAAGCGTCGCGAATCGGTGACGAAGGTAATATAATTCCACGCAAGGGGGTGACTTGTAAGAAAATCTATCTGTATTACACAGAGACGACTTATGTCGAGACGTTTCTGCAATGCAAAGATTAATTTAGAGAAGATTAGAAGTTCCTAGCAGAAATATGAATTATTAAAGAGATGAAGGGAGAAAGATGATAATTCAAATTGGATAGAGTGACATAACATCGTGTTCTTGAATATATATGTGTTCTACAGAGTGTTTCCAAAAAACCATTCAGCTTTTATATAGTAGATAGTACACACCATACTGAGTAAAAAAACCAAACATAGATCGAAAGCTCAAAAATTAAATGCATATATATATATATATTTATTTATAAACAATGTGATGCAAAATATATATTACAAATAAAAGAATGTTTGGTGGCATTTATATGT